TTCCGCTTCCGCATCTCGGATCGCAGCCGTTTTTGGCCAGAACGGCCAGCCAACGGCCCGCCGCATTATCGTCCTTCTAGCCACTTCTATTGGATTTTATTGTTATGCTTATGTGGCACTTTTCATTCCAGCCCCCTCATTCTCCGCGCTTTTCCGCCCCACTCCCCACTCCCCACCGCCATCACATTGTCATTGCATTCCGCCGTTCTGCGCAAACTTCTGGCCGCGCTCAGAGGAAAGGCGAAGAAAAGCACTGCAAACTGTTGGCCAACCAAGTTTTAGTAGCTGCAACATAGATTCTTAGGACTTCCGCGAATCGAGGCCATGACCATAGCCCACGGAAGAACTCAGGATGCGGCTCACAGTGGGGCGAGTGGAATGCTAACCGTCAAATTGGAGAAAAAACGTCGCAGAAACCCAAAATTCAAAGCCCATTGAATTAAAATTAAAATTTGTATCTTTTTTAAATATAGTATAATTAACGACGCTTAGATTACCAATTAAAATGTGAAACATTGTTGCACGGCAATTTAATACGTTTTATTTTTTGCAAAAAATAGTAACATTTAATGAATATTCTTTTTCTAACATATCGAATGTGATGGATACTTGATGGGTCGCCAAATAGCTGACACCGAAAGTATATGGGTGTGTATTTCAATTCAATAATGATTGGTCAAAAGCGAAAGCACCCAAAGTCAAATCAAATATAATTTCAACAAATATAATTTTAAACAAGAAAGAAAGCTAGCTTCAGCAAGCCGAAGCTTGTATACTCTTGCAGTCATCAAATATGTCGAACAAAATACATAAAGGCTAAACAGCATCGAAGCTATGACGATTTTTTTACTTTTCCATATTTTCGACTATTGTTCATATGACGGCTATATAATATAGATAAATTGATTAAATTTAATTCGGCACTCAAGAGTTGTTAGAAAACTCTATATTTCAAAAATCATGCTTGTCTGATGAAAAACAACGATGTTATCATTTTATTTCCGTTATTTCTTTATACATTTTTCGATCTTTCCTATGGCAGCTATATGATGACGTTGTCGGATTTTAATTAAATTTTTTTCCCGATTCAAGGGTTATTAACAAACAACACATTTTGAAAATCATGCTCGTGGGATTAAAAACAACGATGTTGTACTTTGTTTTCCATTATTTATATAATATATATATTTTTTGATCTCTTCTATGGCAGCTATATGATAGAGTTATCCGATTTTGATCAAATTTAATCCGAAATTCAATAGTAGTTAGAAAACGTCATATGGAAGAATTCATCTGAAGTCCATCTGATCAAAAACAACGACGTGAGAATTTTTTAATTCATTCTCTCGTATGGGAGCTATCCTATATAGTCTCCCGATCCGGCCCGTTCCGACTTATATACTGCGTGCAATAACTACACAACTTTTGGAAAAGTTTCAGCAAGATAGCTTTAAAACTGAGAGACTAGTTTGAAGAGAAACAGACAGACGTATCCTGATTCTACTCGTGATGCTGATCAAGAATATATATACTTAATGGGGTCTGAGGTGTCTCCTCCACTGCGTTGCAAACTTCTGACTGAAACTATAATACCCTTAGCTCTGCAAGGGTATAAAAATAAGGAAGCTTTTACATTTTGTTTCTGTTTTAATTAAACGTAAAAGGGCGATGCTGAAAACTGAATTTCTTTGTGCATAGTTTTCATCCAGAACTGAACAGAAACAAAATAAAGGTTAAATTAATTAAGCAAGCCCCAAACAATGCCGCCCATGTAATTAAATTAATGGTATTAGGTATTTCCCAGTGACTTACAAAGTAAATCAATAATTGACTTAAGCAAAAATGTGAAATATCCGACAAATGGTAATCCTGGCCGCATCACTTAATAATTTATTGCGAATCAAACAAATACGAAAACATTTTTCATTAATTGCGCTGCTGGATGTGATTTGCAGGACGAAAAGGGGGAAAAGGACGAGTCGAGCTGGCAGCAGGACAGGCGCAATCAAAAATGCAAAACGCAAACATTGTTCGGCATTCGCAGTTAATAAATGGCGTCAAAAGGACATGTCCGCAAATATGCATGTGTGCGAGTTGCATTGTTTTTTGATTTTATTTCGGATTTAACGAATTTCCTTTCTTCTTTGTGCTCGACGTGAAAATATGCCAGCCGTGTTGCTCCTGCTCCTGCAACTGGTGCAACTCCTGCCACGCCTACCAGCCCCCTCCAATAACGCCCTCAAACTGCGCTAATGTTGTGTGTGTGTGTGTGGGTGTGTGTGGGAGTGAGTTGTCTGTCCATTATGCAAATTAATTTTTGGTAACACCAACAAACACCTTCGCCGACCCAGCAGCAACACAGAGCAACATTCACAGAGGAAAAGCTGCGATAATAGTGTTTAGGCTGCTGACAACAACAACAGCATTAATAGGAGCCCAAGCAACAACAATAGCAATAATAACAACAACAACAATAGCAACAAACAAGAACAACACTGCCAGCAACAACAAAGGGATCGACAACAACAACGGGCTTACCACAAGAATGACGACAAAGTGACGACCAGAAACGCAGTAAGCAACTTTGTGACTATTTCAACAACAAATTTCCCCCCCCCCCCCTTTTCTCCCCTACCCCCTCTCTCCCAGCCCCACACAATGCTCCCTGAACCCCCGACGATCGGGGTCCTGATGCAAGGGTCCCATTCCCATTCCCATTTCCAATTCCATGGCCATTTTCACTGCTGGCCCGGCTGCATCTGACCAGAAAGCTGTTTTGTTTTGGGTTCCGAGAAGGGGGTGTGGGCTTAATGGTGGGGTACGACTTTCAGGGGGCGGTTGAAGACGTCTCAGAATAGGGAATCTACTGGTGATTTCTTTTTGTACAACCTTTTGGAATCATTTTTAACGCCTTCCAGTGGTGCTTGAACCCCCAAGCACAGTAACCCACTTACACAATCCATTTACTTGACCTCAAATAATCCAGAAATATTATTTCTTTAATATGAAAATTACTCTTAAATTAAATTTCATCTAAAAATTATAATTATAAATTTAGAAAATTAACTATATGTATCCTTTGTATAACGGATTATTCAAAATATAAGAAATATTCCAGAATATCAAAGATGCCTTAACAAATTAAATTACCTATATTGATTATTTATGTTTAGAAGTTGAATAATCCAAAACTTAAATCTAGCAATAACTTACAAGTTTTAAAAAACAAAGAAACTACAAAGAAATTATAGCACTTATTAAAATAAATATTAAGTTCAGCTTAATGCTTGATGGAATCCATTATCCTTGCATTAAACTGGGATACAAAGTCCCATGAAATTCCAATTCCCTTTCGAAAGTCTCAGTTGATCGATGGCTCGGCACGGGGACGTTCAGTTGATCATTTGGCGGTGGCCTTGGCCAGTGGGTTGGCCAGTGGGTTGGCCAGTGGGTTGGCCAGTTGGGGAGTCGGTCAGTTGGTGAGGTGGTGAGTCGGCGACTTGGTGAGTTGATGTGTCCCCAGAACACTCGTTCATGAATAAACTTTGCATACTTTGCAGGCATTCATGCGTGGCTAGGTGTGCGTTGCTCCTGCCCCAACCCTCATACACCCACACACCCGAACAGCTCGTTCGTATACGTGTGTGTGTGTGTGTGTGTGGGAGTGTGCGGTCGCCATCAAAATTGACAAAAATGCAAATTTATTTACAACTGCAGCCAGCGTCAGGGTCGAGTTGGCGATGGCGATGGCGATGGCGATGCGATGTCACGTGAATGACTGCCAATGGCAGCTGAAGGGTTAACGGTGGCCAGGTGAAGGGTTAACGGGGGTGCTGTTGGGCGGGGGGTGCATAAAACAACTCTGCAAAATCAACATGCAGCACACGGGCACTCGCGAGATACACCCGCACACCTACAAACCCGCACACCAGCACACCCACACACCCGCACACCCACACACCCGCACACCCACACACCCGCACACCAACACACCCGCACACCGAGCACATTGCACTGACAGTCGAGCTGTCAAATGTCGCAAGTGTATTTGAAAAACGCGGCTACAAAATGCGCAAAACATTTCGCCTGAAAATACTTGCGTGGCGCTCTTCGCATATTCTTGCTTGTTTCCGACTGTTTTTGGCCAACGCTTCCAGGGGTAGTATTGTTGGGGGTTTTGAGGGGTTCGGGGGTTCATGGGATGGTGGGCCCGAAAGAGTCGACACAAGTGAGTGGTCCACTTTGGCCAAAGTAACCGAGTTAGACAAAACGTAGTAAAAAGTGCGAAAAGCGCGGATTTTAGTTTTTGGCCGGCCTTTCCGGTTTTTATGCTACTTTAAATCACGCTTAAAATTTCTGTACTTCGATAACTAATTCATTATTGTGTTCAATGTAGCGCTTTTTAGGATTAAGCCACTTTTTTAAGTCTTTGCCCATAAAACGACAAACTCCGTGGCAAGCACATTTTAAATGCTAAAATTGTTCATTATGTCATTGAGCTGGCACTAAAATTACCTCTCTCTAGAATTCATCCTCTAGAATTCATTCTCTAAATTACCTCTCTCTAGAATTCATCCTCTAGAGAGAGGTAATTTTAATTTTAATAAACGAATTATTTTGTTTAAAGAAAAAATCGCATGAAATACAGTTAGGAAAAGCTTTCTAGTTTTATTCATGCGGATACTGCTATTTGGATAAAACTTATCTAATCTATCATTTGTCATCGTTTTAAAATTATAATGCATTGCTTCACCTACACCCTAGGAACATCAGAATCAGTAGCACTCAATGCCATTTCCAGGACTCCAAGGCAAACACTTGGGAGTCCCAATGCACCACCAATATCCACCTCAAAGGGCAGACTTTGGAACTCGAGCGATGCATCAGAAGTGTCCCCCGGCAATCAATTAAAAAAAGATGGCTCTCGATAAGGACGACTGGCGGGCAAGGCGAGTTGTCCTGGCTCCTTTCGACCGCCAGTCGGTTCCGGGGACTGCGACATGTTGGCCAACTTGAACTTGGAGGCTCCGCTCCAATCCATCGAACTGCTGGAGCTCTTCGGTCTGGTGGTGCAGCTGCTCGCGGGAGGCGAGACCACGGTGGTGTACTTCAACCCCGCAGGACTCGACTGCCGCTGGAGCGTCCTGTGGCAGCGCAACCTGACCGCCCACCCGCAGATCGTCTGGCAGGGCAGCCAGCCGCTCCCGGAGCTCCACGACCGGTTCACCAGCGACCTCCTGGTGCTGGCCTGCCTCTCGCCCGCCCCCAGTGCCGCCGGCCAGCTGGCCAGCCTGGCGCTCAGCTTGAGCCGCCGGCGGGCGGTGCGCCTGCTCCTCGAGGTGGCGGGTCCCAGCCAGGAGCTCCTGGCCAGCCGGCTGCTCGCGCTCTGCCTGCGGCACAGCATGCTCCACGCGGAGCTGTACTTCGGCGGCTCCGGTCCCTCGGGCTCGCCGCTCGAGCTCTTCACCCTGCAGCCCTTTCCCGAGTTCGCGGTGCTCCGGAGGCCGGTCTCCGGCGACCCGCCGGTGGAGATCTTTGCCAGCAAGCTGGCCAACTTGGGAGGCTACCGACTGCGCGTCATGCCGGACTTCTCGCCGCCGAACACCTTCGCCTTCTGGGACGCCGGGAGAGGGAGGGAGAGGCGGGTGGCCGGCTACCTGTGGGACTTCGTGGGCACCTTCGCCGCGCGGATCAACGCCGGACTCGAGGTGGTGTCCCCCACCTGGAGGCAGGGCGTGGCCTCCGAGAGCTCCTACATGGTGGAGAGCGCGGCGAGGGGAGAGATAGACGTCGGCCTGACCACCGCGCTGATCAGCAAGGGGAAGCTCCTGTCCCAGCACCAGTACACCTACCCCATCCTGATCGCCAGCTGGTGCACCATGCTGCCGGTGGAGAGTGCCCTGCGGACGGACCAGCTCTTCACAAGGGTGCTGAGCCCCGCCCTCGGGGGAGTCTGCTGCTCCTCGGCCTCGCCAGCTGTCTGCTGGCCAGGCGGCTGAGGGGTCTGCGGAAGACGAGGAACCCCTCCTGGCGGCTGGCCAGGATCGTGTCCCGGCTGCTCGCCCTGCTCCTGCTGACCTCCTGCAGCGCGCAGCTGCTCTCGCTGCTCATCTCGCCGCCCCGCCAGCCGAGGATCGCCAGCTTCGAGGACCTGCTCCACAGCGAGCGCCGGATCCTGGGCATAAGCAGCGAGTTCTACCAGTTCGACGGGGCGTTCCGGGCGCGCTACGCCGGCATTTTCCACCTGATCGATGACCCCGACGAGCTGTACGCGCTGCGCAACCACTTCAACACCTCGTGGGCCTACACCACGCCCTCCTTCAAGTGGGTGGTGATCGACGCCCAGCAGCGGCACTTCGCCAGGCCGCTCTTCCGGATGCCGGCGGAGCTCTGCTTCAAGGACTTCATCCCCACCGGCATCGTGCTGGCCCCCGAGTCCGTCTTCTGGCTGCCCCTGGGGGCCTTCGCCCTGAACGCCGACCAGGCCGGCCTCACCAGGCACTGGATCGCGAAGAGCTTCTACGACATGGTCAAGGCCGGCAGGATGCGCATCAAGGACTACAGCCAGCTGGCGGAGCTCAGGCCCCTCGCCGCCGCCGACCTCGAGCTGGCCTGGCGCCTCTGCGGAGCAGCCATGTCGGTGGCCTTCGGGGTCTTCCTCCTGGAGCTCTCCTTCTTCTACACCAACGTTTTTCTCAATAGCTTGTAGGAGCTCCTTTGCGTGGGAATTCAGCAACCAAGTTTGGCGGATCACGCAGTTCCGAAGTGAACAACAATTGAGAAGCCCTACTACTTTTAAGAATTTTAAACACACGACGGTATAAGGTAAAGCTAAATCTAAATGTCATTACAGAACTAAATATCCTCCTAATTAATAAACTCTTCAACCGCTACTTGTTGCTTCTTCAGCTTATTTATACCCTTGCAGAGCAAAAGGGTATTATAATTTCAGTCAGAAGTTTGCAACGCAGTGAAGGAGACACCTCAGACCCCATAAAGTATTATATTCTTGATCAACATCACGATCTGAATCGAAATACGTCTGTCCGTTTGTCCGTCTGTCCGTCGGCCTGTCCGTCTGTCTGTTTCTCTTCAAACTAGTCTCTCAGTTTTAAAGCTATCTTGCTGAAACTTTCCCAAAAGGTGTGTAGTTATTGCACGCAGTATATAAATCGGAACGGGCCGGATCGGCCGACTATATCCTATATTTAATTTTATCAAAATCGGATAACTCTATCATATAGCTGCCATAGGAAAGATCGAAAAATAGATATATAAATAATGGAAAAAAATAATAACATCGTTGTTTTCAATCCCACGAGCATGAATTTCAAAATATGAGTTTTTTAATAACTCTTGAATCGAGAAAAAAATTTCATTAAAATCCGACAACGTTATCATATAGCGGCCATAGGAAAGATCGAAAAATCTAACGGAAATAACGGAAATAAAATTATAACATTGTGGTCTTCATCAACACGCATGATTCTTGGAATATACAGTTTTCTAACGATTCTTGATTTTTGAATTAAATTTTATAAAAATATGAACAACAGTCGAAAATACGGAAAAGTAATAGAAAAATCGTCATAGCTTGGATGTTGTTTAGCCTTTATGTATTTTGATTGACATATTTGATGACTGCAAGGGTATATAAACTTCGGCTTACCGAAGTTTCTTTTTTTTGTGTCATATTTAATGAGTTTGGATTTTGTTCTTTGGGTGTTTGGTTGAAACGGGAACTATATTGAACCCATGAGAAAATTTATTCTTTTACGAAACTCCACTGTTCTTGGTTAAACCTATTAAAAGCGGCTCAAACACAAAAAACTGTTCTTAAATCAACTATTCCCCAATGCACTGTATTAAAATAAGTGAGATATCGATTTGTGAATTAATCATCAAGTTATTTCTTTCTGTTCGAAATATGTTGAATAGTTATTCATTCAGTACTCATTTTTTAAGAGCATAACTGTAGTAAAATCTCATATTTATATTTCTGCGAATGTAAGAGAAGATATTTCAAGTCGCAGCTTCAACAATTGTGTTGCCACTTGGGAAAACTCAACAGACAACTAATTGAAGTTTACAGGGGAAATTGGCCGAGGCAAATAAAATATACGGCTGAGAAAAAAGAGAGATAGAGTCAAATTAGCCCTGTTTGTTTTCCTTCAAACGCAGAGAAAAGCGATTAAGTGAAAAGTTCTCTGCACTTTTCCCGCTTCGGCTTTTCCGAGGAGGTTTTCTGGTCGATTTGATGGCAGCGGCAGCATTCAAATTGTGTTTGCACTCGTCTGGAACGGAGGGAAGCTCTAGTTCTGTTTTATTTTTACCGCCCCTGGTCCACGCCCAAGGTCGTCGGGCAAGGGGGAAGGGGGAAGGGGAGGGGAGGGGGAGGTGCGAATAGGGAGCCCAGAATCCAGGACTTAAAGCCAAGGCTTGTTGCAGCCGAGCACACATACACAGACATGCAGATATACATACATTACCGGCGGTATTCAATGCCGTCCTCCGTCCTCCGTCCAAGTTTTCGTCCTTGTCGGCCTTCCCGTCCTTTCCGTCGTCTCCACGTTGCCGGAAGTGGCGATGATAACACGCCAAAAAGGAAATGAACACTTTTTGGGCAATGGGGCGCGATGGAGTTACTATACGTATAAACAACAACAAAAGCAACTCTCGAAAACAACCACGTCGGGGAATGGCTATACCAAACTGGAGCTTATAGCCACGAGTTCCAGAGTCCCTCACAAAAGCTTCGAGATATTTGGAGTTCCTTCGAAGGTTTACTGCAAATTCTCTGGAAGCTACAAATATACTTGCTAAATGTAATTGTAAATAGATCCAAGCGATTTCTTAGTGATCTTTAATCGAAACAACCCAATTGAAAGCAAAATGTATCAAAATAACTAGTGACAACAAAAAATACTTTTACTTTTAATCAAAATGAATTCAATGGGCATTCAAAAAATGCATTGTATTGACCCTACAAAAATTGTATTGGAAATAATTACAAACAAAATTAACATTAATCTAACTTGTATGTAAATCTCAAAATGAATACGACAAACTTCGACGTTGAGTGGCTGAACTTTACAAGTCATGTATCTTTGCAGGGTATTCAGAGACTGCGACTTCCTCCACCAACCTCCGCCATCTTCCCCCCATCTTCGGTTATCTTCGCCTGTGACCTCTGCCCCCGAAAACCCCCCACCTCCCCGGCATTCGTCTGCAGCCTTTGGGCGTAAATTTTATTGAGGTCGAATTGAAAAGGGGGCAAGTGGGTATGGAGCGTCAAAGGGAATGGGGAAAGGGGGATAGAAGCACAGAGGGGAGGCCGTTGTCTGAGAGGAGCAACAACAACAGACGACAAATGTAACGAAAAATTAAAAGCATTTTATGCGCAAATGGCGCGCGGCATTTAAAACGAATGCGAAATATGGTAACACGCGATTTGGCGGCCCCAGCTGACAGTCCCGCCCGTTCGCCCTCAGGGGGTGTTCTCACCACCACCACCACCACCCCCCACCCTTAGCACCCGTCCCCACCCACAGCACCCACAGCACCCCTCTCCCCGAGGCCATCACAGTGCGTATAATTTATGTGGCATTTAATGAAAACGGAATTGAAATTTAGTGCGAATTTATTAAATGATTTTAAATTGATGTTGGCCTCTGGACCGCATGGCAGTGCCCCCAGCCGAAAAACACTTAAATTATTGGCCGGGCGAGGATGAGTTTTGATGATGACAACGGCGGCGCAGAAAGGGGTTGGGGGTGGCTATTGGCTTGGGGGTGGGTGTGTGGGTGGAGTAGCGATTGTTGCTGTTTTTGGGACGAAAATCGAGATAATTGCATTTTGAAAATGCAATTTTAAATCTCTCGCAGCTCTAGGAAATCCTAGACAAGTCGCGACTGAATTAGAATGGATTTAAAATATACACTCGAATGAAGAAGGATGTTTAAAAGCTTGAACTAAGGCTTTCAAGCTTAAGTTATCAAGTTATCCGTCACTCGCATATTATATTCCTCGGACAGGACAACGAATTTTAAACATTTACATGTTGGCTTCATCTATTAACGGTCAAAATAATTGGGTTGTATCCCTATAATATTTAATTATCCAGCTTTATTGTTAACCAAAACCTTGAGCTTGCTATTATTTACACCGACCAAAAAAAGCTTCAGTGTGGTTTGTAGTCCAAACAGCAATGAATATAGTTGTAATTGTTTTGTTTTTCAACGATTGAGATTATCCAACTCTCTCTATTGGCCACTATTTGGTGTTTGAAGCTATGGGATGACGAAAGCAAATGAAGTGTGTTAAAGGCATTTAATTTGAAAAACGATATTTTGCACTGTGGAGGAAGGCTCTCCCGAATTGGGCCTGTGAACAGCTAATTAAACGTAATTCATCGGCTCGAATAACAATAAACGAAATTGGGAGGTGGCTCTGAAATGGACCCATCCACATCGAATGGAATCGATGGTCAGAAGCTAACCGAAAACAAAATGCCAACTGGACTAAAAGTGAAAATTGCGCATTAATTAAATTTAAAGCGGGGGGAGACCGCGCATCATTAGAGTCGCACAATTAATGCGAATATTGTTGCACATGCACCACCATCAACACCACCAACACCACCATCAATTCCGCCCCTTTGCGCCACCACTAAAGGGGGCGTGGCAGCCGCAAAAGGTAAACTCTTTGGGCCAGCGGCCAACGCTGCTGTTTGCGGCTCGTGTGTGCAATTAAATTGTATAATTTTACAAAATTAACAAACAAACAGAGTGAAAAATTGAAAATCCCTGTGCAAACAAACGGTTAACATATGTACGACTGCGGCGGGGTCATGTGTCCTTCGTGCATTAATCACGCGCATTGCACCCGAATCGGAATAATTTCAGGTGTTATTAATTTAAAAAAATACCCTTAATTATTCACATAAATAATGTAAGCACTGAGCGAGCGAAAAGTGGAAAGTGGAAAATGGCGGGGAAAACACTGCTCACTGTCCACTATTCACTGTTCATTATTCATATTTGTCGTATATTCCATCAAACTCGAGTAGCAAAAGCTCGACGAGGCTCCAAAATGGGACACCTGACCCAGTAAGACCACTTTCGATAGGACGCCACATGCATTCTTCATTGCTTTGTGGATATTGTGTTCAATACTTGAATACGGAAAGTTACACTTCACTGAAGAGGCTTGCATTCTTATGCTCGTTCGTACTACTGAGTTCATGCCTTTTCCCCCTTTCAATGGCTGTAAGAATCAATTTGGAAAAACGATCAGTGCATCATGGAATCCGACTGACAACACTTGTGCCTCATCATCGCCATCAGTTGCATCATAAGCGAACCGACTCAATCGCATTGTGGCGGCCTTTTCGGGCGCTGTGAAAACGGGAAAGTGGAAAGTGGTAAGTGGAAAGTGGAAAGTGAAAATGGACCAACAAACAATGACAACAGTTGACCGAGCGACCGACCAGCCGGGGGTGCGAACTCGGCTCGGCCAGGATAACTCCTGGTGCCTCCTGGTGGCTCCTGGTGGCTCCTGCCACCGACCCACTGGAGCTGGAGCTGCCTTTTAATTCCGAAAATACCGCCAAACACTGCCGCAAAATGTGAGTTATTAAAATTGTGGACTATTTGTTTGCATTTTGCAATTCCGTTTGCCGTTTACCCCCTGAATGCCATTTTTCTTGGT